ATATACATCACTTTCCCTCCTTTTGCAATTGCATTTCTTCTAAATTTCAAAAGAGAAACCATTAACAAAGGTTTTATAATACACGTTCAGCAATTATTAACAGTTGGTCTATATGTAAAAAGTTTGAGAAAATGCCAAAGAACTAGTATAATTAATATTATTAATATTAGCAGGCAGGTGAATACAATCAAACTAATAAAGTTCAATATCAATTTGTAGGTATCCAAGCCTTGTTAATGTCTCAGGAAAGCCGTCTCTCTCTGATGTTGATGGCTTCTCATCCTTGAGAAGTCTTTGATCTCTGCTGGTAGAGGCAAGTGTCATAGACAGGGGCAGATGTCCATTTGCAGTTAGGCACCTCATACAGTCTTTTCCAACAATGTTGGAGAGAGTCTTTAATTAATGTCTTTTCCAATAGACAAACATTTCCTGGGTGTAAGCCATGGCCTTTGAAGTCTTTGTCTCTTGGGAGTGCACTGTGAAATGAGTGTGACTAATTTATCAGTCCCTATAAGCAGGTTAATGAGTCCTTGATAATAATGCAGAATGTCTCCTTTTAGTAAAGTTGATTCATATGTTCCTTCATCCAGACTCATAGTGTGACTGGTGACTATTTCATAAGGAGAAAGGCTATGTTTACCAAAAGAAGTAGATCTTAGGCTGAGGAGCAGTATAGGGAGAGCTTTTGGCCAAGGGAGATTAAAAGCTTCTGAAAATTTACCTAGTTGAGGGGAGACTCAAGAGAATGAGGAACATAAACAAAGAAGAGCCAAAAACTATCTTTTCTGTTTGCTTACACATGTCCATAAAGTAGCCCCAGTATCTACAAAGGCCTTGGCAATTTCCCCTTTTTATGGTCCTTTTAATTTGTCCTAAACTATTAGTAAGGAGAAAGGGAAGTACTTTCTCATAGTTTTCAGAGCAGCCCTATGCTTGCTTCTGTTTCTTTTCTCTAAGTCCCATTTCAGTTTCCTATAATCCTTATTAAGGAGACCTCACTTTCTACATTAAAAAAGACTCCTCCACGAGAGTTTCCCAGCAAACTCTATTTAGTAATTATGTTACTTTTGCTCCCAGAAAACCAGTAGGTATATTACTTGGGATAGCTCAGAATATCCAGGGTCTCATGTTCTAACAGTTAAATTTGTTTGTGAACCCATCTCCTGGAGAAAGTACGGGAAAACTTCAGGTAGATTCTTTAATTCTGTTCTAGTCCAAGGAATGTATATAATTGATTGTTCCCCTCTGCCTGAGACTGGCTTTTCTCCAAAGGAAGCTGCCAGAATTTGTTTTTATCCCCCATAGTTTTTCCTGGTTTGGAGTACCATTCTCAGTGTCCCCTATGTCAGTAGGAAGCTGTGGTGGAGGAGGTGAGAAGAGTAAAAGAGAGTAAGTACAGACAACAGGGTAAATGGTACCACAGGGTAGTCAGAAACAAGGGAAAAGTGGGGTGTTGGCCTTGAGCAGCTTCAGAGGCCTTCCTTCGTTCAGAGACAGGCTCTAAATGCTCTTATTAAATTCTTTTGGAAAAAAGAATGTATCTGCCCTTCTCCTAGAAGCTTCTAATTTCCAATCAAGACATAGCTTCCCATTTATTCCATTTAATTTTAGAGTTGGCGTTTTCTGATTTTGCATGCAACAATTAATTTAGGTGCCAAAAATCCCCTTCATTTCGGCCATCTTAAGTTGATATTTCTAGTTAAATCTTTCTATGTCTTCAAGTACTTGCAAGTAAAGGCTTTCCATTTATTGAATATCTGCAGGAATAGTAATGGGGGCTGGGGCTGGGAGTTTTTGGCCTTGGAGGCATGATTTACCATGTTAATTTTAGTGAGATCTGCAGAGTATGAACAAATTTCTAGGGATATTGTACAGTAGCTGTACTACTAATGGGCTGAGCTTCAAGGGGCTATCATCTCCTGAGTCACATTCAACCTCCTTACATGGCTTGGTTTCTCTCCCTGGCTATCTAATACAGGCATGGGGACTCAGAGCACTAGGTAACCAACCTTTATGTGCATGTCCCTGGACAAGTCAATTAATTACAGTTGGGTCGGAATTCCCCATGGGACTTCTGCATATTGTGGGGGATGCCCCCATCACCATGATAAAGATTTCTTAGTCACATAAGAATACCCGAGATTTTGGCTGGAGGGAGAAAATGCTCCTTATCTTCAGAGCTGAACTAGTTCAGGCCCTCATTTATTCAGCAAAATGTTTGTGTTCAGACTCTCAGAAAGCAATTCCAATTGAAAAGCCAGAGTTATCCATTTTTCCCCTACTGTCCTGCCTTAGTTTGGGTTTTCTCAAACCTTAACCTTTAGTTCCACTGCAAGGATTTTAAAAAACAGCTCAAATAAAGTCAAACCACTTAACTTAAAACAGAGAGGTCCAGAATTCCAAGGGAAATTCACTTTAGTCCAATGGATGCAAAACAAGGAGCCAGTGGGGCACAGTGGGCCCCTGCTGGTACCAAGCACAGGTCTGGGTGTGCAAGGTGGTCCTGGGTGGACTTCCTTGGAATCCTGCCACACTAAGCAAAGTAAATGTCAGTGTAAGAAAACTCTGTCTATGGCCAGGTGGCTCAACTGTTTTTGCATTGTCCCATGCGCCAAAAGGTTGCAGGTTTAGTCCCCAGTCAGGGCACATGCCTAGGCTGCAGGTTCAGTCCGTGGTTGGGGTGAATACAGGAGGCAACTGATCAATGTTTCTCTCTTTCTCTGTCTCTCTCTCTCTCTCTTTCTCTCTCTCTCTCCACCCTGCTCCTTTATTTCATCAATAAAAAAACATATCTTCAGATGAGGATTTAAAAAAATCCAAACCTATAAGAATTTTTCATGAGCTTATTTGAGCCAAACTGATGACAATTGCCAGGAAGCAAAATCTCAACAGATTGAGAAAATGCTTCCACCAAAAATTTTCTAGTTAAACTCTAAGGAGTGCTATGTGATTCTTGTTTATCTTATTCTTCAGAATTTATTTGAAATTAGAAGGAAACTCCTACAATCTTACTTTCATAAAAAAAAAAAAAGACCAGTTTTTTAATTATAGCAAGGGAGAGAGTTTAAGGAAAAGTGAAAATAATTATATACTCATGAATATATTTTTAAGTACTTATTATGGGTCTATCACTTGTTTGGACAATGGGGACAAAGAATGGGGAGGTTACTTTTTATTTTTATGCATTTCCATGAATGTCAAAGCTTTAGCCTTCCAAACAAGTCTTATTTAATACTAATTTATTTTCCCCTTTTTTGAATCAGTCACATTTAACTGTCCATCAAAGCTTTGATTAGTATGAAGTAACTGGTGTTACTTCAGTGTCATAATTTCAGACAAAAACAGAGAATCTTACTGTTATAGGTAGCCTAATTGTAGATGAGTATATAATTTTTTCAGGCTTTTTGAGACATTGAAAGTAGCTTTTTCTTTCTGATTGGCTGGGGCCTGGGACATCCATTCAGTAGCTTATACTTTAGTTTTGGAGATAATTATTATAAATAACAGAGAATACAAAACAAAGTCATCCTGCTAAGTTCTATTGAGGGGTACAGGTCCTAAGTACTATAGCATTTTATTGCATAGAGAGGTCCCTGAGCTGAGCTATTGTAGTTTACACTGGTTGCTAGGACTGAGAAGAAGTATTCTGAACTAGGAAACAGTGGGTATAAATGTACAATGGTGGGAATGTTGACTGTATGTTGTGGATACTATTCAGTGAGGAGACAGTCCTACAGATATGTACACAGAGGATAGTTGGAGATTAGGTGGAAAAAATAGGTGAGGGTCAATCCAAGATCCTGAGTTTTTTGAATTTGTACTTTATACAGAGATGGCAATGAAAATGAGCTGGGTCATTGAAGAGACAGTAATACAGAAAGCCAAGGACCTGGTAATTAATGTGAAGATTGAGAGAGAAGAACCAAGGACAACAATGTTGAGATAGGACAAGATTATTGTTGTTATTAAAAATAGAAAAACCAGAAAGGGGAGCTTGAATGAAGTGATGCCACAGATCCCTGATGCTCTTCTAAAAATTCCCAATTTCTCTGGATGGCTCCTAACTGGACAGTGTTTTCCCTATTTACCTATTGAATCTGTCAGGATAAAATGTAGTGTTGAACAGCATTTAGAGATCATGAAGTCATCTGGCCTAATCTCTTCATTCTACAGATAAGGAAATTGAGGGCTTCAGATTTTGTGACTTCCCCTAAGGTCACACAGTTAGGCTGGCCTTTTGGCACTATTTTTTGAAGTTCTTGTAGCAAAAATTATTGTGAATTACGCCTGCTTATTGGCAAAGTGACCCTTGTGTTTCTCCACCATAATTAAATTAGTTCTTGACTTGCTTTTTCAAAGTTTTTCACTTTCCAAAATCATATACATTAATGGTTAAAATAATTCCTAATGAGTGATTGGACTTTTTCCCCTTTACCCATACATGCAGTCACAGTCTTTTAGTACACATGGGGATTAATGCCAAACTTGACTTGGGTGGAATGGGTCTCCTGAATTAGAGTGTGATTCCTACCCTGCAGCAGGAGCATGAGCCTAGCCAGTGCCTTGAAAAAGTGAACTGTTTAAGATGTTGCTCCTAGTCCTCCACCTTAGCTGAAACCTAGGAGAGTGCCTTCTTTTTCCCTTCCCAAGCCTCCTTCCTCATCTTACCCCCATGGCTATTTCTCTCCTTTTCCCGGTTTCCTTGGCCTGTACTTTGCCCATCTCCCTCGGGAGTTCACGCTCCCACAGGTCCTTCCCACTTTATTTAGGGCCTTCCTTGCATACCTTGCCGACAGCTCCTTCAGGGTTCTAGGCCCACTGGTGTGCCGGGGGCGGAGCTGAGTGAGCAGAAGCCCCGCCCCTAGTTTTGGGCGGGGCCCACAGTGAGATGGCGCCATTGATTGGTGGGGCGGGGCCTGCATCGGGGGCGGGGCTTGGGGTTGGGAGCACTGGAGAGTCCTGCTGGGGGCCACAGGCAGCGCGTGCGCCCGGTGCTGTGTGGCGCAGCTGTGGCAGCGCTTCCCGATGGCCATGCGCTGGGTGTGGGTCCCAAAGGTAAGTGTGAGGAGAGGTCCTAGTGGCTCACAGGGTAGTTGGAGGGACTCGGCAGGCATGCATGATGCAGGTGTGGTTTGGCTGGACCGGCCAGGTGCCACTTCAGTGCCGAGTTAGGAGTACGTACAGGGCTCCGGCGGCGGCCCCTGGCGTGAATCCCCGATGGGAGTGGTACACCGTAGGGCGGTAGTTTTGCAGCGCTTGTTCACGGCATTAGCTCCAGGATAGAAAACATTTGCGTTGCACCACACACCGTCTTCACAAAGTGGAGAGACCTCGGGAACTGCAAAGATTTTATAGTCTTTAAAATATATTTCTAGTTCGTGATTTAGGACTGTAGGAGATACTCGGTAGTGAACTTGCGGTGCAGCTTTCTTTTTCTTTTTTTTTTTTTTTGATTCAATGTTATTCATCTTGCCGGAAGAGAGGCTAGTATTGGGACTGTTAAACAAGGACACCAGGGTTTACACAGGCAGAGTATCGCATATATTAAGCGCGCAAGCTTTGAAGCTAAAGTGCCAGGGTTTGAACCTACTTATTAATTGTGAAAACTCGGGTAATTTGCTTAATTCCTCTATGCCTTTGTTTCTGCGTATGTGAAAGGGGGATAATAATAATTACACTATGATGGGATTGTTATGAAAATTAAAAGAATTAATACTTAGTGCGTGCAATAGTCCACTATAACGTTGGCTGTTTATTATGCACTCACATGGGCATTAATCTTCAAAGTTGTCACCTTTTTCTGCAGAAATGTTGCTATAAATGCTCGGGGATGCATTTGGAACAGTTTCAAAGACTGAGTCTCACCAGAAAAAGTATCCTGACTTTTGTCTCATACTAAAGGCGTCCTCATTACCTTTGTTTCAAATCAAATCCAATGATACAGAAATCTAAGTCTTGCAGGTTGTTCTCAAATAGGGGTAAAAAAAAAAAAAAGGCAGCACTTTTAGAATGGAGTCTCAATTTAAGCACCAAGCTCTGGTAGGTTTGTTTAAAAGAAGTTTATATTAATTAATACAGAACTTATAGTTGTTATTTTGAGTGGGTGCATATTTGTACTATTATTGGAAAACGAGATAGACAATGTAGCCAAATACATAAACTAAACATCGGAGACACCATAACTGGCCACATAGGATCTCAGAATTGAAGGGAATCCTAAAAATCAGACCAGCTACCCTTTACAGATAAGGATGAGGCCCAAAAACCTAGAACCAATAAATGGCAGAGCTTAGACTAGAATTCACCTCTGCTGAGCAACAAATTATAAAATCGAAGGATGATACTACTTCTGGTTTTGATGATAGTACTATTTTTTTTTGACAGTTTTATGATACTATGAATGTTTTTTGTTCTCTCAGCAACATCCTGCTTGGTATCTTAATTGCATGATTCATAATCATTTTACAGCATCTTTGATTTAAATCGCAAGTCTCAAAGTTGCTACATCAATGATTGCTTTGAGAACAAAATGATTGTCTCTTTAAGCTTTGTATAAACATATTCTAATAGTGCTTTGGTTTTGTTGTTTTAAAATGCAGTCCTTTCTCTTCTGTAGGGAAGGTAAACAGCCAGTATAAACAAATTGACCTAGTAGGTAGGTAGTTTGTTATCACCGTGTTATTGATGAAGTTTTCTTGATTGGGTAGGAAAAGAGTCAGGAAGTGGGACACTCAGTGTTAGCTCAAGGAAATAGGACTGGAGTCACCAAAGAGATGTATTGCAGTTGTTGCCAACTTCAAAAGCATGGAATGAAATTACATGGAGATACTGGTGTGTTAGTTGCTGACTCTTCCCTGGTTCCTTGCATAGTTTACTCCCTCACCTCTAGGTGTTTGTTCAGATGTTATTATCTCAGACCCTCCTATTTAAAATCCTGTGCAATCCTACTTTTCTTGTAATTAATGTATATATCTATCAATATATCTCTTTCTATATAGACTTACTTGTTTATTATACATTGTCAGCCACTAGAGGGTAAGTTCCATGAGGGCAGAGGTGCTTGCCAGTTCTCTCCGCTGTATCCTAAGTGCCTAGAAATTAGTGTCTGCCACCAGGAGGTTTCAAATACCTGGATCTGATGCAGACATTTCCAGCTAGAAGGTAATTACTAGGGCTAGTAATTACCATATTTTGCTGTGTGTAATGCGTGCTTTTTTGCCCAAATTTTTGAGGGAAAAATAAGGATGCGTATTGTACATGAGTAGTACTATTGCCATATCTATATAAATGTTTTGAATTTTATTTATGCTTGTGTGTTAAAAGTGTAACTCCGGAAAGCAATAGTGATATCCATATGCAAAATAATACCCTGGAATACAATAATCGATTTTGTTTCTAAATATAAATAAAAAACTGAATTAGAAAATTAAAATGGAAGATTTTTTTTCCTGAAGGTTTGGGCCAAAAACTTGGGTATGCATTATCCACGGCAGAATACGGTACTTAAGCCAATTCACTGTCATTTTGCTCTGCTTTCTCCTCTCCCTTTTTCTGTTTCTTCTGGTTACCCAGGAATAAAACCTGGAGGCAATGTTAATCCCTCTTTCTACCTTGTCCTGCACATTAAAAAAGCTGCTGACTTATTTCTCCTCTTAGCTGTTTTTTTTTCAAACCTGCCATTCCTATTGATGCCAAGACCATTTCTTCAATCCCTCCACCGTTTCTGATTCTGTACACCTACAGCCCTTACGCTGAGTTCTCTTTTCAAATGTTTTTTACATCTTCTCTTGTAGAATTAAATCCAGTGGCATTAGAGTTCTCTACAACATGATCTCAAATCCACTTTTCTCTCTGTTTTTAATAATGAGCAGGTCTTTTCCCCTAAGTGGGCAGGAATTCAGACAAACTGGACAAATGGCTCTTCCCTGTTTGTACCAAGAACTGTGCTGTCCTTTCTTTTTTGTGTGCCCAGCCTTTAAAACCTTTCTCACATGTCTCCACCATTCCAAACATCTAGATAAGTTCAGTTGGAAGTGATTTTTCAGATTTTTCATAGCTTTCTTAGAGAATTTATCATACTCTATTTTGAATTGTAATTTTCTGAACATTTGTCTTTTATTTTTGCTACATAAAAGCTCCTGGAGGATGAAAAGCACACACAAATTCCAGTTACTTTTTAAAGGAAATATAAGACACAGCACCGCCCCCCCCTTAACTGATTTTTAAATACAAATGAATTTAAAGTTCTATTTGATAGGCCTTTAAAACATTAAATATTGAGCTTCTACAATCATTTCTACAAAATGGACAATTAACAAAGAAGGCAGGGAAATTCAGTACTAAATAAAAAGATACAAATAAAGGCATTGAGACTGGATTCACAGTAAATGTAGGGAGAGCAATATACCCAACATTCATATAGATGGGCGAGTGGAAGTTTAAAAATATACTCAATAAACTCACTCAGGAAACCATTAGGACAAGACAGACTTCCAGTGTGCAGCTTTGGATTTTCCTGTGGTGTATCGTGCTGAAGCTTTATTTTGTTTTTGCATCCCTGGGCACAAACAATCCTGTCTTCCTGCTTTGTTTTCTGAGCTGGATAGGACTGAATGTTCTCTTCTTTCTGGGAGGTGGAAGTAGTTTACCTTCTTTCCCTTCATCATTTAAAATAATAAAATGAGCATACTTATTTCTTCATTTATTTTCCTGGATATATGGAGAAAACATATACCAGAAGCTTTTAGTCTTTCAGAGAAAGGTGATAGATATAAAATACTTGAATTGGGCTATTGTTGAAGCTTCCTGTTTTATTAAGTTTGATACTAGCATTTAGTTGTTTCCTTTATTATTACAAACATATCCTTTTACATATTCCAGTTGAGTGAATGTTTTTATTTTACTTGTAATTTTTCTTTCCCTGATAGATTAAAACTTGTTTTTAGAACTATACACACATTTCTGCAATTTAATTTTATCTTTTTCCTATTGTTTCCCAAACCTCAGCTGGGGTTTTCCCATTTGAGGGCCCACATTAGCTTAATTTACTGTTTTTTGTACTTGATTTTGAGTACTTATAAGTACAGTCTAAGTTTATTTTACCATTCCTGGAGTGAAGCTGCAGGGAAAAGTTGATAGGAAAAAAAATATATAAAGATTTTAATTTTCAGAATGTTACAACTTTAAGGTAAAATTCTATAATTTAAATATGTAACTGGTTACAATTTTTCTCCTTTGAGAAATTTCTTCTATTGTGCTAATCAGTAAAATTTCACTATCAGAAGAAGAATTTTGAAAGCAAATATTTGCTTTGGAGTAAAGTTTTCTTTATCACACTATATAAGCATCTGTGTTTACCCTGAGTTCTCTTTGTTTTGAAAAAGCCTTTGGTTAAGGGTGTTATCAGATAGGATTATTCACACAAATAATAAAAGTTGGAGCACAAACTAATTATGTATCCCTAGCACATGGTAAGCATGGTGTAAGTATTTGTTAAATATATTTATATTTTTAGGGAGGATTCCATTAAGATATACATATACATATTCATATATGTATATATGAATATATACATATTCATATGAATAATAATGGAATTGACCTAGTAAATAGGGAGAAATTGATTATTCAAGAGATTGATAAAGGAATGATGAACAGGAGGTGACTTTGAAGATCTCAGTTACATACTTGGGCAAATTGGAATTTTCAAGTGTTTCTTTCCACCTGTTTGTTGAATGAATAAATTAAACAAATGCATATTGAAGCTTACTAAGTGCATGACAATGAATAAGTCAGTTTCTACACTCTTGTTGGGGAGATTCTCAATAAATAAGCAATATGCAATCTGAGACGGTTATAAATGCTGAAATAGAAACAAACAGGATGATGACCAAAGATTAATTGGAGAAGGAGCACTTTAGTATCAGCATTCATGTGAAGGCTTGTTAGAGGAAGTGACATTTGAACAAAAGCCTCAATGTGAAGAGCTGAAGAAAACGCATTTAACACAGAGGGGACACAGGTGCAAGAGACTGGAGATGGGACAGGGCTCAGTG